GCCATCTGCATAAATTTTACCTGGGAAAAAAATACAAAATTATTAGTGTTGGGAGCTGGAGAAGTTCCATCTCTCTCCAGCAGAGTCCGCCATGAATCCTCCTGAGCTGAGCCTTCGACACACCTGAGGCGCATCTCATCATCAGAGGATCCACAGTATATAACCTGCCTTCAGACCTTGCCTCGACGCCGCAGTGTTAAATCCAGTTGGTTAGCACCTAAGCCTAGTATCTTCTGAGAACCTTTGTTGCCATTGAATCCAGATAGGATTCTAACCCTTTGTCTCTGCTTTCAGGAATCCTGTTTTTCTCCTGTGAAGCTCTGGAAGAGCTTAACCTGCCGAGCCTGCCCTCTGAGCCAAACCTGAAGACTCTTCTCTGGATTCCCATGCAGCTCTGGACTAAAAGCTGGAAACTCAAAACCAAGGTCTGCCCTCACGCTAGAAGTAAGACGCTGAAGCAGTTATCGGACTCTGCTGAACAAAACTATCTCTGGACCCAACAGTTCCTCTCTCAAAGCTTTAACCGGACTTCTCAAGGTATAAACCTGAAACTCTCTAAATCAAGCTCAACTGATTCAACGCTAACTGAACTGTCTCCCACACAGACTCCAGTGAACCAGCCCCCAGGCCTGAACCAGTACCAGTGTTATTTCCATGTGCTTTGTGAACAAATAAACTTGTTAAACTTTTCTTCAGTCTCCGTGGTGTTCTGCATCTTGGGCCTTTCAGTAACCCATCATGACAATAAGGATGGGTGTCTATGGAAGAGGATTAGGGCCACTAAAGAACAAAAAATTTACTGATTTTTAAATTTTACTTCAGTTTAATATGGGAAAAAAAGTCAGAATTCTAACTTTAATCTCAAAATTTTGACTTTAATCCCAGAATTCTGACTTCAATCTCAGAATTTTGGATCTTAATGTAGTTGGGCACCATGAGGGAGAGATGTGTGAGTTGTTTGAGAGAGCCAGTGACACATTGGTGGAAAATGACGGAATTACGCAAGTTTTTACCCGAGGGGTCCCCGGTGATGCTATTTCATTAATGGAAGAGCAGAAGGTGATTAAAACAATACATTTGCTCTCTAGAACAGACATGGCTACGGATTGACACTAAAATGTTTGTTAGCTGTCAGAATTCAGTCAGAATTCAAAGATTACAGTCAGAAATCTGAGATTACAGTCAGAAATCTGAGATTAAAGTCAGAATTCTGAGATTAAAGTCAGAATTCTGAGATTAAAGTCAGAAATCTGAGATTAAAGTCAGAATTCTAAGATAAGTCAGAATTCTGAGATTAAAGTCAGAATTCTAAGAAAAAAGTCAGAATTCTGAGATTAAAGTTAGAATTCTGAGATTAAAGTCAGAATTCTAAGAAAAAAGTCAGAATTCTGAGATTAAAGTTAAAATTCTGAGATTAAAGTCAGAATTCTAAGAAAAAAGTCAGAATTCTGAGATTAAAGTTAGAATTCTGACTTTTTTCCCATATTAAACTGAAATAATATTTTAAAATGTAACTTTTTTTCAGTGGCCCTAATCCTGTTCTGTAGGTGTCTTTTTATGGCTGTTTTCAAGTATTTTCAAGGTCTCAAGCTGGATTCTTCAAACTAAAATACTTCTACAGGAGTGAGGCACCCGTTGGGGCCCCGTCTTTAATATCCAGATGCTGATTTGCTGGATGATGTAAGAGGAAGTAAAGCTGCTGGCTTTAGCTCGTTCTACTAACGCATCCCCTGACCGTCCAACGTAAATGTTATGGATTTGTTGAATTAAGAGCTACCAGCCGAGAGAACTGGGTCTCTAACTTGTATTACGCAAAATACATACAACCCAGGAGAAACATTCAATCAAACTGTCGGAACTGCTGAAGAGATAAAGCGATATAAAACCGAGATCAGCAGGAAGTTGGGGTTGTTTTTGGTGGAAGAAGCTGCCCATGATCTCTTCAATATATCTAGATTTAAGCAGCTCTAAAATGTTCACCAGAAAGTAAAAACTAAATATGAAAGGCTAATATTTGTTTGGCTTTCTTTTCTATAATCCTCTCATCCAAAATAAATAAATAAAATGTATCCGTTTTCCAGCAAATGGAAAATAAAGAAAAAATAAAGGAAAATGTACTGATGCATGAAAGAATTAAGAGAAAATGTCAAAGCTCATTGACGTCTTATTGTTAATAACACACAGACACAATTAGAAATAATACTCTGGATTAAAGTTAAAAAAATAAAATAACTTTGGCTACCTTTTAAAAAAGCCTCTTAAAAGTCTCTGCTATTACAGTTGGTCTACAAACAGTAATATGTGTAAAAATATGCATTTACTTAAATTTAAATCCGCTTAATTATGCATCTTAAATGTAATTATATATAAGAACAGGTCATATTGCAGTCTTTTAAACATTTTTACAGTATATTTATGGCGCTATGAGGTGCAGGCCTTGCTTTTGGTGAGGAGTGGTTTGGTGCGGGTACTGAAGGCTTTGTTGTTTGTTTTAATGGAGGGGGGGAGTGAGCATGCGCTGTGCCTCCAGGCTCATTTCACTGTTCAAGTGACCTTTGGTCAGCTGCACTTTAGTCTGAAACTATTTCAATCATGGGTGATCTAGACAGGGGCCAGCAGGGGCCAGTTCCCCTGCAGAACCGGCTCTGGCCCCTGGCCTGAAGATGGAACAATAAATACCTTTCTTATTCAATGCTCTGAGAAAGTAACTCTAACTGATGCTACCTTGTGTCTAGTTTATTTCATTTATTTTTTTTCACCTTTACAGTTTTATTTCAACAATGATTTAAAAACCATGACTACAAATATGATACAGCAGGACCAGCTTTGGACAGACGGCTGTTAAGGTCCTCACTGCCATGTCACATGACTGTAGCCGATTTTAAAATGTTTCCCTACAGGCTTAAAAACTGGTTAAAGACAAACCAAACCTGGATTCATCTTTAATTATTACAAATAGTTAAAGAGTTGGATATGAGAAGCATGTTTTTAAACATTTTTTCATTTAATGTAGTGTAATATATAAATTCAATTTTGTATAAAAGCCCAACCAGGGACAGAAGTTAAAAATTAGCTTTAGCTATAAACTTTATGTTTGTATTGTCGCTGTAAAAAAAAAAAAAAAAAAAAAAAAAAGATGAAATGAAAATTTGAGCTTGAGTTGTATTGAGATCGGATCACTGATTTCATAACAGTTGTAAATAGATTACAGCTAGCCCTAAAAAGTCTGTCTCATTTTATAGGGAGGAAAATACAACCTGTACAGCTATACAACTTGTTTTAACTGTACAAAATAGAGCTTTAAAATGTAAGCTTAAAGTACAGACAGCGCTTACAATTAGTTTCAAATCTAAGTGTTGTGTTAAGAAAACCAAGAATTAAGAAATCATGGCCAATAAATTGATCCACCTTTACTTTTTATCTCTGAATTTGGGATAAATTTGCTCCACAGGTTACACTGTTCACTACGGAAGAGGATTAGGGCCACTGAAAAAATAATAAAACCTTAACTGATTTTAAAATATTATTTCAGTTTAATATGGGAAAAAGTCAGAATTCTGACTTTAATCTGAGGATTCTGAAGTTTTTCTCATGTTATACTGAAATAAAATGTAAAAATCAGTAAACTTTTATTATTTTTCAGTGGCCCTAATCCTCTTCCATAGTTCATAATGGTAACCTGAGATTAATCATTCATGTTATTTTATGCCGATAATTTACAATTATCGTGATTGGCGAAAAGGTAACTTTTAAAATGCATGTTTTTGTTTTTCTTTCCTTTAAAACCTTGAATGACATCCTGAGGTTTCCTAAATGATCACTTCTAAAAGTTGACAAGTGAATGAATATGATTCCTAACCATCAGAACCACTTAAAGAATCTACGGAAGAGGATTAGGGCCACAAAAAAAAAAAAAAAAGTTGACTGATTTTTAAATATTATTTCAGTTTAATATGAGGAAAAAAGTTAGAATTCTGACTTTAATCTCAGGACATTTTTTCTCAGAATTAGACTTAGATTTATTTTGTCATTTTGCATACACAAGTGTAGACAAAAAGAAATTTCCATTAGAACAGCTCTCTAGAAAATTTTATTTTTTTAAAGTATGGAAGAGGATTAGGGCCACTAAAAAAAAAAAAAAAAAATTATTTTTTTAATATCAATTCAGTTTAATATGGGAAAAAGTCAGAATCCTCACTGTAATCTCAGAATTCCGACTTTAATCTCAGAATTCCTGCTTTAATCTCAGAATTCTGACTGAATTCTGACGCTAACAAACATGTTAGCATCAAGCTGTAGACATGTCTGTTCTAGAGACTGAACTAGCTCTCTTGTTTTAATCACCTTCTGCTCTTCCATTAATAAAATGGCATCCCCAGGACCCCTCGGCACGTAAAATCCATAATTCTGAGATTAAAGTTTGAATTCTGGGATTACAGTCACAATTCTGAGTTTTTCACATATTAAATTGAAATAATATTTAAAAAATTGTTAACTTTTTAAAAATTCTGAGATTAAAGTTAGAATTCTGAGTTTACTTTCACAATTCTGAATGTTTCACATATTAAATTGAAATAATATTTAAAAATCAGTTAACTTTTTCAGAATCCTGAAGTTAAAGTCAGGTTTTTGAGATTATGTCAGAATTCTGACTTTTCCCCCCACATTAAAATGAAATGATATTTAAAAATCAGTTAACTTGTGTTTTTTCCAGACGCCCTTATCCTCTTCCGTAGGAACCAGAACCTTTAGAAGCGGGTCAAAGTCCTTTAGGGTCAAACCAGAAGGTACCAATCAGACACTAACTTCAGCACCATGTCCTAGTTGTTGTTGCATGTCCTGTTTTGAACCACAAACTTTTTCCCGATAAGGAAGGAAAACTGGAGCGAGACGCACCAAAAGCGACCGTTAAAAAGAAGAACAACCAAAGTTGTAATTTCTTTCTCGGTGAAGCCACTTCTCCAACTGTCACCTAGCTTAGCCTAACAGGGAGGACAGACCTGTCTCATGGTGGAGGGGGGGTCTCTCTCCGGCTGCTGTCCCAGCACCGGGCAGCTGCAGCGGGGCGGACTCCTGTCCCTGTCCCGGCCAAAGTCTCTGAGTAATCGCGTCTTTGACCACTCTGGCCCCGCTGCCTGTTATGGAGAAGATGTAGTCCATCGCAGGCTGCTGGGTTTGAGCAGGAATGAGCGAGCCGCGGGAGGTGGTGTCAGGACGCCTTCTGCGCCCCGCACATTCCAAAACAGGAACTGTTTCAACTACGAACCAACTGCTCTAAACCACCGGTAGTTTCAGCAGACAGCTTCCCCTCACGCTGCAGAAAAAAAAACAACAAAAAAAACTTTCTTCTAATTGAATCTGTGCAACTGATTGGAGGAGAAATTTGAAAGCTTTTAATCATTTAAATCAGGGTTTTTAATGTTTTCCAGGTCAATGACCCCCAAACTGATAGCTTTATATCAAACTGGTCCTAACTCTATTACATTTGGAGTAATGTAACGAAAGTAATTTCTCCCTGGGATTATTAAAGTATTTCTGATTCCTGGTTTATGGGACAGGTGTTGTGAATAACACGGTGCCCAGCTTGAAAGAGCTCCTGTGTGTCGCTGAATATGTGCATTGATGACTGAAAGACATCTTCTGCCTCCATTTATCTGTTTATTACAGTGATTTGATTTCATGTTAATATGGATTTAAAAACATTTCAATTAGTGGAAAAAATTGCAGGGGGGGGGGGGGGGGGGGATGGGGAGAGAGAGGTAAAAAGAAATAAGAATTAACCAAAACTTTAGTGACCCCCCCATGCAGTACCTGTGTGGAGCCCCTAGGGGGTCGCGGACCCCCTGTTGAAGACCTCAGATTTAAAGCAAACTTGGCAGATTCTCTGGAAAATATTCAGGATTTTAAAGTATTTCATGTCAAATCATTCTGTCTAAAACATGCATAATATAAAAATATTTACAATAAAATCCTGTCTTAAAATCTGTGTCTTCCCCCCCCCCATTATCTTATTTATTCCAGTTAGTTATACGTCAGCCTGAACACCTAAATCTGGCCAATCATATATCAACGGTCATCTGTCAATGAAATTCTTGCGGTCATAGCATCTTGATTCATAAGTCGCAGCTAATTTACGCAATGGTTGAAATAAGAATCATTCCCTTTCCCATTAAGTTCCATCCCAGTGTTCACGGGGATGGACGTCTGTGTCTTCAGCAGGCGTAGAGCTAACAGAACTGGCAGCGTTGCGAGGCAAGGGCTCAAACATGTACGGCTGGAAGCCTTCTACACCAAACCAAGCTTCTGCCGCCCTGGCGTCCTCTTCCACAACATCTTCATCCCCGCTTTCCTCCTCTAAATAAAAAATGTATGACAGAGGAGACTCATCCACGACCTCCAACACTAAACTCTCCTCCTCTTGCATGTTTCCTCTGTCCATAGCGTTCCTTGACAGTGTCGTTTCTAGGTCACCAATTTAGTGCTACTTGGTCCCAATGGAATTTCCCATTGGGAACCTACTAGCACTAAGTTGCTAACTGGTTAGCAAGATGTTTCCGACAAACCGGCTACAACCAAAAAGCTTGTGAACCTTCCATCACAATATTCCCGCCCCCTTGATAATCGACCAATTATATTCACTTTATTCACTCATGTAAAGTCGTGCAACACTCGGGAGAATTCAGAAATGCAACATTTGGAACAGCCGCTTCCCTACGACTTTAAAGCCACAGTTTAAAATAATTACAATGATTTTTTCAGAGTTTTAATGTCATTACACCGTCACAAGTACAGAGCAATGATATTCAGTCTCTGCATTTAACCCATCCCCTTGGGGAGCAGTGGGCTGCCATTGTGCAGCGCCAGGGGAGCAGTGTGGTTATGGGTCTTGCTCAGGGAGCCAGAGTGGCAGTCTGTGGGAGTGGTTTTTAAACTCACAACCTCAGGATTCCAAGCTCTATGCCCTAACCACTAGGCCTCCACTCCCCCATTTATTGACAGAAATATAGATACATAAGTAGAGCTGCCAAGTTTCAGAAAACAGCAAGAGTTTAGTGTCAGCAGGGTTTTGACCACTGATATCTATTTACTCACTGGATTGCTGATTGCCCATTGGTAGTACGTGGTTGAAGTGGAGCCGCCATATTGGTACTCCCTAGTTAGACCGGTCGCAATGTAAACAATATGTTTTCTACAGATACTTTAAGACTTTTAAAATAAAGATAAATTCATCACTTTGACACACACTGGCTATTTCATAGCATCAGTGGATTACTTTAACTAATAAAAAAATAGGTCAAACACATTGCATATTCATTATGAAGTCAATGAAGTCTATAATTCATGTAATATGACATTTTATACAAATCCATCGCAACAAAATTAACGTGTTAATGGAGCATAAAAATTCAGATGTGCCAAATGTGCTAAATTGATGATGCACATGTATGATATGACTTTTCTAAATGAGAAATCAGGGGACATGTCTTATGTTTTTTTTTTTTGTTTTTTGCTGCACCTTTTGGTTCCTTGATGACAGAGACTGGGAGCCAATAAAAAAAGAACAAAAACAGATATTAGATTGTGAAAATTAATATTCGACAGTGGAATAAAAACCCATTTGTGCTGCTTTTAGAACAGTTCACTGCATGTGTGGTTCTAAATAAAAATAAAAAAGTTTTTTATTTTTATTGAAAAGCTTCCTGAATGGGAATTGAAACGTCTTCAAACTTGGAAACAAAATCCAGTGGATTTTTTAAAACTCTTTGGAATGACTATAAACCTTCTTTCTTTTTCTTTTTTGGCGTGCAGAAAACAGCAGCTAGGTTAAAACCACGATCAAAGACATCTTTTTATGCAGGCTTCCCCCGTCAGGACACTGGATTGTGCATCATTTTATGGGTCGCTTCCGTATGTAATGCGAAGTTAGGCTGTCGTTCGACATACGCTCTGGACTCGTTATAAATGCTCTATAAATGCACCCAAAATATAAAAAAAAATACATAGAAAGTTCAGCGTATGCCAGCGTTTTAGGAGATTCTGGGACGCCAGGCAGATGCTGGCTAAATCGGCAAGGTGTGACAGCGCCCTCAGAGGGTATAAGTGTGTAACTGCCACAAAAACATTAGATTCTCGCTTTCAACTGTGAACTGGGCAAGAGAAGAGTTAAATAAAATACAGAAAATAATAGATTTATATTAGTCACAGGGATGGCCAATGATGGGGGGATTTCTGATGTATCAATTTCTGATGGATTAAGTGTATAATCCAATTGATTATACACTTAATTTGTAAATTTTCCTTTGGAATTCATAAAGTATTTCTTAATTGAATATAATTGATGTATGTTAAGCTTTGTTAAAGCTAACATAAGAACCACAGTTTGATAGACAATGGAAAACTAAAACTAGACATGGTGAAAATAGGAATCTATGAAACTTATTAAGTTCTAATCTGTGTAATTATTGCGACCACATTCCTCTATAATCTGATTTTATCCAACTCCAGCTGCTTGTAGTATAAACTCCTCAATTTAACAGACTGGAACATCTTCTGACACCAAGCATAAGATGATTTCTTAGTTTGGGGTTTACTTGAAGGTGTAATTGTGCAATAGGTGCATCTTGGGGTCATTATGGGGGATCATTCCTCAGCAGAGGGAGCGGGGGATTCCAGCAGTTCAGCAGGAAACATCACTAGGAATAAATGATCTGAATGTAAATCACTGACCAGGACTCATGGTTTTCATCTGTTTCTTTGAAACGGTTGCAGAGGATGTTTGATCATGAAATCCTGCCTTTTTCAGTCTTTCCATATCTCATGCAAAACTCCGCCATTTCACTGTGGATGAACGTTTGGATGGGTGCTTGTTTCAAGGAGGAGGAAGAATAAATTAGGATTTACAACAAGATCGCCATTCACATTTTAAACTTTACAACCACCTCTGATTTGTGTAGCTCAGAGCCTTGCTAACAATATAATTGATCTTATTTCATAAGATTACTGCTTCTAACTGAATCCATTCTAAGTTAGCTCTGTTAAAATGCAGACTTCTACTGGTGTTTACTCAGAGTGCAACCATTAGGGATTGAAATGTCTGCAACAACGAGGGCATGTTGCGCTATAGGTGCATCTACACTGTAAAATAATAAAATAGTTAAATATTTTTGAATGATAGCTTACACAGAGTGAAACCCTCCAAGCCTAGATTCCTTGTAATGATGATGACTATGGCTCCCAGATAAAGTCTATCATTCACCATGCCTGTCTGGAGAATGGCACGGGGGAGCATTAACTCCAGGATCAGTGACATGACTGCTGGTGCAGCAGGTGAGGATGAAATTTGATGGAACCTAAATGAAGAAGTGGTAGTGAAAAAGTGATTGATGGAAGAGGGTGAGATAATGAACATGGAAAACTTAAATACATTATTCATCCTGGAGCAGAACTGCCAAGCTGCAAAAGGAGCCTCTAAAACGTTATCCACTCAGTAACTTAAAAGAATAAATACAAAAATGCTAAAGATGGGAGTAGTTTCTTTTTTCTTTACAGGAAAATCCTGACAGTAATAACACCTGCAAGTCATGTGTGGCATTTTAGTTTGCTAAAATGAAGCTGAAACAGCTGTTACTGTTGCCAGCACTGCATTTGTATGATGATACAGACAGGAAGTGCGCCCTCTGCTGACCTTCCACGGTACTACAGGCTTAAGCTGTGAGGGGAAAGAAAAGATGCAGCTCATGTGATCAAAAGTAATAACCATGATATTAAAGTCAGATATGGTGACACAATGGAAACAGTTTTTGTTGAATAAATACAATAAAACTATGAGGCAAACAGTAACTAGTTGTATTAACAGTTACCTTTATTTAGAATAGAATAGAAAATCCCTTTATTGTCCCAAAATGGGGAAATTGGGATGTTTAGAGGGGCAAAGGATTACAGCAAAAATGGTCACACAAATGTGGACCTTAGAAAAATTTATAAAAATAATAGAATAGTGAGTATAAAAAAAATAAACAAAATACTGTACTGTAAAGTGTTTTTACAATATAAATACTGTGCACCTGGAGAATAAATAACCAATATACAACTATGGACATTTTTACAGTAATGGATATTTGAAAATAGCAGCAACATCAGAGATGGGCAAAATGACAGCAGCAGGTTATTTAACTGACTAAGGTAGAAACTGTGCAAAATCTGCATAAATGTAACAACTTATTGAGGTTGTTGTGAACAGTGGTGGTTATAAAGTCTTTACAGC